AGGGCAGCCCCTTCCATGCTGTCATGGAAGAGACTCTGGGCCTGAGAGGGCCAACCAGTCCTCAGCTGAGGCTGCTCTGCTCACCCCATGCAGCAGAGAGCTGGGGGCAGAGCCCAGGACTCAGGGGGATTTGGGCAAGTCCTGCCCACTGCCCTGCTCACCAGCTGTGTGGCTTGGCCAGCCACTTGCCAGAGGGGTGCCTTGTTTCCTCCTCTGTGAATGGGTGCTGTTCCCGTGGGGTTGTGAGTAAGCCATGCATACAAGCTGGTAACAGGGCTGTGTCCTTGTGGGCTTGGAAGCTGCAGGGCCCCTGTCATACTAGCTGTCTGGCTTGGGCCTGGAGAGGGGCCCTATGGATGCTGATCTCAGTGCAGAATTCTCAGTCCCACCCCTGCCCTGGGTCCTCCCAGCTTGACTGGCAGAGGTTAAAGCCTCCTTGGAAGCTCTGCCTAGTTAGACGGGGGTGGGGAAGATGGTGCAGACCACCTATGTTCCACCTCAGTGCCTTCACACACGCTGTGCCCTTTGCCTTTGCTTTCTCACACATCCCACCAGGTCTGGACCACATGGAGCTGTTCATAAAGCACATCCGGGGGCTGCCGAGTAGACTGGGTGAGGCAGCTGCCTGTGCTCAGGCCACTCACCCCTGTCCTCACAGTTCCTGCTGGCAGGTAGGGGTGTGGGTTTGCAGGAAGGACCTGGAAACAGTGCCAGCTCCCTGGCCTGTGTGCCTGTCTTCTGGGCTGATGCCATGCCAAGCCCTGAACAGACATCCCCTCACTGAATCCTAAGGCAGCCCCATGGGGCAGGGACCCTTCTCATCCCCATTTCACAGATTAAATACTTCTGGAGGTTGAAGAGCTACCTACATCACACAGCTGACTAGTGACAGAACAAAGACAGCAGGTGGTACAAGGGTGGCAGGGGCCTTCCTGAGCCACCACTTCCATCTTCTCCCACGCACCCCCAGGCATCTACCTCGGGCCCCAGCACTTGGCTGGGCTGCCTGGTTTTGTGACTCCCCCATCTGCTCATGAGCAGGAGGACTTGCCCCGCCCAGCTCATTCCTGGGCCCTCCCCACTCTGGCACCTCCAATTCTCCTGGACCCCCAGCAAGTACAGAATGGAGGAAGGAAGGAATGAGACACTGTGAAGTGAACACTTGTGGGGAGGCCAGGAGGTTCAGAGTAGCTGAACAAGGCCGAGTGTATCACCTGGAGGAGGAGCGTCGGGGAGGTGCTGCTTTGCCTTCTTCAGGCCCCTCCTGCAGAGCACCCCCTGCCCACTCGGGAGGGGGCTGAGGAGGCTGGTAGGAGGAGGTGCAAGGCCCCTCCTCAGAGACTTGGATCTCTGCTAATTTGCAAGCTTGAAATGCACAGCAAAAGCATCAGCCTCATTGTTAGTACATTAATCAGGCAATCAGCGGGTCCCGGCTCCCAAGGGCCACATGGAGGGGGCACAGGAGGAGCTGTGGCAACGCAGTAACCATCTCCCTGGGAAGAAATTGGCAGGGTGACAATCCAGGGCTGACACCTGCTGGCTCAGGCAGGGGTGCCAGAAGTGGGTGGGGCTTGCTGGGACAGCCAGCCCAAGGTTTTGGAGATGGACTGGCTTCCAGGGTGGCGAAGCAGACTCAGCTGAGATCCCCAGTGGGAGGGGTGGGGATCTGGAAGGAAGGCCTCCCTGGCACAGACCCTGGTATCTGGGAAGTACTGAAGGATGGAGAGCAGCTGCCCTGGGCCCAGATCCCACCAGTCATCTGGATCCCTTTATTGTTCCCGCCTTTGGAAGGAAGTGACTACTACATACAGTCCCTATGGCCTTATTGCCTGAGACCCCCAACATAAAGCATGTTCTTCCTTGAGGTGACAGAACAGGTCAGCCCTGGGCCAAGCCTCTACTGGAGTCCCTCTATCTCCCCGGGCTCTCTCAGGGGAAGAGCAGAAGGCCCCCTGCCCTGGGTCCTGCCTCCACCCCACCCTGCCATCTGACCCCTTCCACCTGCCATGGTGCATTCACAAATCAGTTACTAAGTACACACCTGGATTTGGGGGCATTTGGGCTTTTTCAGCTAAACTCAGGTCCCAGGATAGTCTTCCCTGTGTACCAGCATTCCCTGGAAACATCTGCTTTCTCTCTGAGGGGGGACCATCTCCCTTCAGGGCTTCACCTGGGGCCTTATGGAGACAGAACACAACTGCAGCTGGAGGAGATGCCCCCACCACCACCACCACCACATAGGGTGGGTCTGAGGATCAGAGGAGTGTGGACAGAAGTACTTTGTCAACTGAAATGAGCTGTACAAATGTCGAGTGGTATTAGCGCTAAGCCTGCCACAGTCCCTGCCCCCGAGGCTGCAGACTGAGGGGAGGAAATGCCTTTGTCTTTAGAGGACCCCTGGTAGAGGCTGTATGGCTGTGGTCTTTCCTTCCTTTCTTTCTTTTTTTTTTTTTTTGGTACCAGGGATTGAATTCAGGGACAGTCAACCACTGACTCACATCCCCAGCCCTATTTTGTATTTTATTTAGAGACAGGGTCTCACTGAGTTGCTTAGCACCTCACCATTGCTGAGGTTGGCTTTGAACTCGCAATCCTCCTGCCTCCCGAACCTCTGGGGTTATAGGCGTGAGCTGCCAGGCCTGGCTCAGCCACGTCTTCTTCAGACTGAGTTGTGGGACAGACACAGTGAGCACCGTGAATGCTCTTAAGTCTGGGCTCCTTCAGGGTGGCTCCCTGGGGAAGGTTCTGGCAGGTATGGACTCCTGAAAGAAAGCAGCCTACGCGGGGGTAAGGGTGTGGGCTGAATGAGGAGATCTGGAGAGTCCAGTGTGGCTTGAACCCCTTCCAACCTGGGTATGGAGACTGAGGGGCTGGGCAGCCTCCTCTCAAGTCCTCTGAGATTCTGAGCCCTCAGGTTCCTGCCATCCCTGGGCAGACTAAAGTGGGCCATGGGGCCTAGAGGCCACACCCAGGACTCTGAGGGAGAGGGCTGGCAGAGCCATCATCTCCTAGTATTTTCTGGAAGGGGAAACTGAGGCAGAGGCAGCCGCTGCCTTGAGCCAGCCTATAGGCTGTCCAGTAGCTCAGGTCACTGAAGGTACTACAGAGGCTACACAAAGTGTGTCCTGGCTCAGAAAGGGTCCTTGATGCTGTGCTGCAACCACCACCGAGGTCATAATTGCTCTGAAATCGCAACTGAACCCAATTATGCAAAAAACTAAATTATGTGCAATGATTTTTATGTGCTGGAAACATTCAGTTGAAGCCGGGTGATTACAGGGGGACGGGAAGCAGCTGCCACTCTCTGGGAGCCCATAACTCCCAACAGCTGGGAGCTGTCACTTATTTACGATGCCGTTTCTACCGGGAACGAGGGGGTGGCGGTGGCAGTGAGACCTGCTCAGCTGGGAACCTGGGCAGCGATTGGGTTGGGGCAGCCGAAGTCCTGGGAGCTTGGATGGGTGGCTGACAGACCCAGGTGTGGCCCGGAGGTTGGCTTTTCTCATCCCACATGCTCAGTGCGCAGCTGGTAGCAGGAAGACTCAACTGAGCTGCCCCTAGGCACCCTGGCTCTCCTGAGAGGCCCAGCTGGACAAACCAGAATAGAAAGGGCAAGAGGCCAACCCAGGCAGGGAGATGGCTGCCTGGCCCTCCAGGGTGGGCTTCTGTGGGCCTGGAGCCTTTCCCCTCCACCCTGTGTGCCTGCTGGCCTGCTTGGGTCAGCTGTGACCCTGGAAAAAGGCAGGTAATGACAATCGTCCATAATGAGGCTGCTCCAATAATGAGCACGGGGCTATTACCCGACCACAGGCTGGACACATCCGAAAATAAATTATTTTAAGGATCCATTAACGAATGCCTAATTAATGCCCAATTAGAGGGAAGCTACAGAGGAAATGCTCTGGACAGTTGAGGGGCAAGGCCTGGTTTTGCAGCCATAACCTGGGAGCTGAAGTGAGGCGGAAAGAGGGGAAAGGGCCAGAAGGTGGACCAGGATGGGGGCAGCCTTGGTCTGGCAGTTTTGTGGACCCCAGAGAAGCTTCATGCATCAGCCCTGGTGCCACCCCCCAGTCCCTGACAGACACATCTCTCTCCGTACACACACACAGCTCTGTGAGTGAGAACTATCCTCTCTGTGTTTTAGAAACAAGGAAACTGAGGTACAGAAGGGGTGTCGCATACTTGAACATGTAAATGAAATATCTTTCGAGGAGCACTTTGGTGTCATGCTTACATGCTTTGTTTGTTATTGGGAATGATTTAAATAAAACGATTCCTCAGGACTCTGCATGAGATATTTACTTTGTTAGAACCACTATCTGTGAATGCAGATAACGATGAGCTAGTGGCAGAGCTGGGATGAGGGCTAGAGGCTGTGTCTCGGGGTGTGGCCTTCACTGCAGTGGGGCTGACAAAGACTGAGGGGGCTGGGCTCAGGCACCCCCAGCAGGGCCTAGGGATTTTAGGGGCAGGGCTAAGAAGGTACGGGGTTGATCAGGGCCTTCACCCCAAATTTACCTCCCAGTCCAAGTTGGGGATTAATTCTTAGTTGGGCCAGGTGCGATAGTGCACGCCTGTAATCCCAGCGGCCTGGGAGGCTGAGGCAGGAGAATCGTGAGTTCAAAGCCAGCCTCAGCAATTTAGCGAGGCCCTAAGCAGTGAGACCCTGTCTCTAAATAAAATACAAAAAGTGGCTGGGGATGTGGCTCAGTGGTTAAGTGCCCCTGGGTTCAATCTCCAGTATCCTCCATCCCCCCAAAAAATCCTCCATTGGGGTAGCTGCCAAGAAGTAGGGAGAAGTTTCTAGTCTTAGATGAAGTCCAGGCTTGGACTCTGAGTCCAAGGGGCCAGGAGAGACTCCTGATCACAGCACAGATAAGATCTTCCTTGGCAGACCTAGGAAGATCATATGCTGGTCCCCTCCCCACCCTCTGCACCCCATCTGTCTGCCACCTTGCTGGGCAGTCTCTGACTGGTTCTGCTGTCTCTCTCCTCACCAGGGTGCTGTGTGGAATTGCTGCTGCTCCTGCTGCTGGCTGGGGAGCTGCCCCTGGGCGGTGGCTGCCCGCGGGACTGTGTGTGCTACCCAGCACCCATGACGGTCAGCTGCCAGGCACACAACTTTGCCGCCATCCCCGAGGGCATCCCCGAGGACAGTGAGCGCATCTTCCTGCAGAACAACCGCATCACCCTCCTCCGGCAGGGCCACTTCAGCCCTGCCATGGTCACCCTGTGGATCTACTCCAATAACATCACTTTCATTGACCCCAACACCTTCGAGGGCTTCGTGCACCTGGAGGAGCTGGACCTCGGCGACAACCGGCAGCTGCGGACGCTGGCACCTGAGACCTTCCAGGGCCTGGTAAAGCTTCATGCCCTCTACCTCTATAAGTGTGGGCTGAGCGCCCTGCCGGCGGGCATCTTTAGCGGCCTGCACAGCCTGCAGTACCTCTACCTGCAGGACAACCACATCGAGTACCTCCAGGACGACATCTTCGTGGACCTAGTCAACCTCAGCCACCTGTTTCTCCATGGCAATAAGCTGTGGAGCCTGGGCCAGAACACCTTCCGGGGACTGGTGAACCTGGACAGGCTGCTTCTGCACGAGAATCAGCTGCAGTGGGTCCACCACAGGGCTTTCCATGATCTCCGCAGGCTGACCACTCTCTTTCTTTTCAATAACAGCCTCTCGGAGCTCCAGGGCGACTGCCTGGCCCCCCTGGTGGCCCTGGAGTTCCTCCGCCTCAACGGGAATGCCTGGGACTGCGGCTGCAGGGCGCGCTCCCTATGGGAATGGCTGCGGAGGTTCCGAGGCTCCAGCTCTGCTGTCCCCTGTGTGTCCCCCGAGCTGAGGCAAGGCCAGGACCTGAAGCTGCTGAGGGCCGAGGACTTCCGGAACTGCACAGGCCCAGCGTCCCCACACCAGATCAAATCACACACGCTCACCACCACCGACAGGGCTGCCCGCAAAGAGCATCACCCACCCCACAGCCCCGCCAGGGACAAGGGCCACCCGCACAGCCATCTGCCTGGCTCCAGGTCAGGCTCCAAGAAGTCAGGCAAGAACTGTACCAGCCACAGGAACCGCAACCAGATCTCTAAGGCGGGCACCGGGAAGCAGCCCCACGAGCTGCAGGACTATGCCCCTGACTACCAGCACAAGTTCAGCTTTGACATCATGCCCACAGCACGGCCCAAGAGGAAGGGCAAGTGTGCCCGTAGGACCCCCATCCGTGCTCCCAGTGGGGTGCAGCAGGCCTCTTCAGGCAATTTCCTGGGGGCCTCGCTCCTTGCCTGGATACTGGGGCTGGCGGTCACTCTCCGCTGAGGACCCAGGGCACCAGCACCCAGCACTGCCACCGTGTCCACCAAGGAACAAAATTTCTTTTCTTCTTTTCTTACAAGTGGAAGATCTGCTGGGTTTCAGGAAAAGGCTGACAGAGCCTCCAGCTGCTGTCTGGACCCTACTCGGTGGATTATAAACCCAAAGTGTACAGCCCTAGATGGGAAGGGATTAGCGCATCTCACCCGGCTGTCCCAGCCAGCCCCTGCCGAGCACCTACGGACAGCGTCCACTCCAGCAAGGCGGTAACAGGCACGCAAAGTGAATTCTTCATTAGCAGTAATGGGACAAGTGCCCCTCGTGGGAGCTGGGCTCTGTGGAATCCTGATCATTTGGAGAGGTCTGAAGGGCCCTGCCATTCCTGGAGGAGCAGGACTCAGAACAAACAAGTCTCTCCCAAGAGCTGACTGGGTCAACCAGCAGTCTGGGAGTACTGGGGCAGGTGGCATCTTGGCCTTTGTCTGAGGTCATCTAGTCAACCTGCCCTGAACCCAACCCTATGCCACCTTCGGTCCCTCCCTTGGGGGGGGTAATGCCTCTCATTCCTGATGTCTCAGGCAACCCTGGCAGACCCAGGCACAGCTGCTAGGGTCCAAGAACCAATTACCAAAGGAAAGATCATCAGAGGCTGAAATTTAGAACTTCATCACATGCAATGAGATTCTCACAGAAGGTGCAGTTTTATACCTATGTCCACTTATATATATATACACTACACATATATATATATATATATATATATATACATATATATACAAATGCACAGGTCCCCTGCCCCACTCCGTTACCAAACTGTATGTCTTATCATGTTTATAAACTATATGGGAAACTATATCTGCTGAGGTAAGGGTTGTAATGGTGATTTCTAGCAAGAAAAAAAAAAAAGTTATAGGATTTTTGTCTAGAATCCCAGCCTGGCGTCAATAGTCCCTATGTAACCTGGGCGCGCCAGGACCTGGTGCAGGGTGTCAGTGGGAAGGGATAGGGAGAAAGGGAGGCAGCGAGAATCATTTCAGGGGACCAATATTCTTAGACGTTTAGAACATCACCTTGGTTTTATATGCAACACAAGCCTGTCTGGCGCCCTGGAGCACCAATCACCCCTTCTGTAAAAGCTGCGGGCGTCAGGGTGAGAAGTGGGAAGCAGCTCGTGGATGCCAGGGAGCCAGGCACTGGGGCCAGGTAGACAGAGAAGGGGAAAGACAGGTCTTTGGGGGTTTTTTTTGTTTTTTTTTTTTAAGTCAGCAAGCAAGGCAGCATCCACAGTGTTAGTCCAACAGGTTGGACAGTGTCGTCAGCCCAGCGTTTTGCCAGAGGTGGCCTGGACAGGCCCGGGGAGACTCTGAGCAGGAGCCCAGGGCTCCAGCATGGCTCAGCTGCTGGATTTTTAACTTGAGGCTTTTTGGTGGGCAACCCAGCAAGGGCAGGAGAGAAGCATCAGGTAGCCTTAGTGGGAGGAAAAGGATGAGGACATTCCAGGAACTATCTCAGGCACTTCTGCATTACGGAGCCCCATTCCTCCTGATGCTCCTGAGATGCCCGGGCAGAGGTTAGAGGGCCAGACTCAGGGGTCAGCATGCAGGGAATCGAGCATACAAGCCCAGATGAGGGAGAGGGGCTGCTGGACAAGGGCCCAAGCAAGCACAGTCTAATTTGCGCTTTGCACAAACCTGAATTCCCCACCAGAAAGGGTGTGTGTGAGGAGTGAGAAACACTGAATCCAATTAAGAGAGAAAAATAATAATAATAAAAAAAATTCTCTTGGACAAGAACCCTGTTTTTCATTTCCTAACCCCGCATTCCTGATGGGGTGGCAGATCCTGGGCTTTGATGGGGTGGGCGAGCCTGGCTGGGCACTGCTCTGAGAACACAGCACGTTTGTTGGCAGGCGGAGCTCTAGGGGACAGGGGCACACTGACTCAGAGGGACACACAAAAGCATGCGCACACACACACATGCGTGCACACACACATTTGTTCTCTGTTCCACGGTTCTTCCCTCGCCCGCACACAATATGATTCACTTCCCACATTCTGGCTGCTCTGGGTGGGCACCATCTCTGTGTCTCCCCCTAGAGCAGACTGGCCCTGGATCCTTCTCGGCCTTTTCCCAAGAGCCTCAGCAGCAGCTGCTGAGCCATTGATTCTCAGGGGGTTGAGCGGTGACTGGAAGGGAACAACAGGTTCCTGGGGCCCAGAGGACTTTCTAGGTGGCCAGGGCCTGACCGAGACAGCAGTGGACAAGGCCCACAGTCCGCATCTGCCTCCGGCTTTGGAGAAAGGGTTCCCCGGATTGAGGGACGTTTTCAGGCCTGACTGGACAATACCCCTCAGTACAAGGCTTGGGACATTCTTGAAAGGAGCCCTGTGGCAGTAGAACAAATCCTCTGGAGCCCGAAGTTGCTCCCAATGGTCTCCCTGCTCTGACCCAGGCCGGTGCCAGGGCCTGGCTGTTCCTTAGAGTCCAGGGAGGTTGTTATGTTGTTGATTTCATTTCCAACTTCAGACAGCAAGGCCCTCAGTGGGAAAATCAAGAGTCTAAGCACTTTATTAATTTTTTAAAAAAGACTTAGTAAGCCTAGTACGGTGGAAGTGAAGTGTCAGAAGGAGAAATGCTAATGTCTTCTAAAGGCTCCACTTCTGTCCAGCCCGGCAGAGTCTCCAGTTGCCCACTGTTATTACAGGCCAGGCAGCGCTGGGCCCAGGACACTGGGTATATTTTTAGTTGCTTTCTCCTCTAGGAGTTAGGAGGAATAAAGGCAGCTCTGTCTCAGATGACATCACTTGTCACTCAGCAACTCATACGCTCCACGGTTAAGATGACACCATTGCCCCAAACATCAGAGCAGGTTGACACGTCAGGGGTTAAGCAAGGCCTCTCTCACCAGATCCAGCCACCTCCTGAGTGTCCTGTCCTCCTCCGAGGGGACTGGGATCATCCCCCTCTGTTCCTGATGAGGTCAGCCCCTCTGCCATCTTTGCTTAGTACTTTTGGGGAGCCCTAGGAGGAACCATCTTTTCTCCTTCTCTCCCCTCTGGGATGACAGGAGGACAGAGTCATCTCTGTCAGAGGGGCTCATGGCCCCTGGTAGTCTTTGTTCTTTCTGTGATCCCACAGCTTAGGTGACTTCTATTCATTTGACAAACATTGATCAAGGGCTTCTCTGTGCCAGTCATTGCCCAGGCTCCGGGGACATAAAAAGGTGTAGATGTGACTCTCTGTAATGACCCCTGAGCCCAGATGTGGAAATGAGTATATTCTTCCTTAACGTAGGATTGGAGCCCGTGTTCGCGCTCCCACTCCCCAAAAGGAAGAACTTGGCTGGGATGGGGGAATCAGAGAGGGCTTCTAGGAAAAGGTGACACTCCCAGAGGTCTCAGAGAATGAGAAATGGGCCAGAAAGGAGTGGGGGAGAATTGCAAGCTGAGAGCTGGAGACACACGCTAGCAGGGTCTCTACCAACAACCAGAGTTGAGGGCCGGAAATGCTGTTTGCCAGGGTGTTGGGAGACCAGCGTGGCAAAGGGGAGGCTCTGGGGGTCCCTCTCAGAGACTTAGACTGTGCAGTGAAGTGAAGAAACCCCACCTGGGTTCTTTCTCCCGCACCCCCCCCCCAGCCTCTCCACATGAGCATGGTCCCCACCCTGGCACCCTCGCGGATGTTCCTCAACAGTGGGTTTCATCATCGCAACTTGCCGCTTGTGCTCAGCCAGATCTTGCTGCGTGCCAGCAAGCTGGAGCGCTCCCTGGAAATCTGCCTGGGCCACAGTCCCATTCCCAGACACCTGCTGCTTCTAAGCTCGGAATGTATCCCATAACCATTTAGCCTGGAGGCCTGAACTCCTGGCTCTCTCATCCCATTGGACCCTCAGTCTGCCAGATACCCCTGTCCAAACACACCCTGGGCTACCTCCACAAGGGCCCCCTCCAGCACACCCCCCCTCCCCCTCCTGCTAGGGCTGTTCATTACCAGGGAGCCAAGAACCCCACTTAGCAAATGTTTACTCATCACTTAACTAATCACCCAGCACTCCATGGCCAATGCAGGCCCAGGAAGCCCTGTGAGCAAGTCTGAGGAAGCAGGAGCACCCAGTAGAGGGTGCAGGAAATCTTCTGGGAGGATGGGCTGCAGGACCTCACCCCACAGGCCCAGAGAGAATAAGTGTGCCGGGGAGCATTTGGGAGCCCTCAGCAAATCTTCCCTCATATTCACACAAGTCCCCAGGCTGTTCCTACTCATTCCTGATTAGACCCCCACCCTGGGCCTCAAGGGACCCAGGTCTTCAATGCCCTTCTCCATGCTGACGTGGAGGATGCCCGCCTTTCTCTGTGTGCATTGGTCGATCCAGGAAGGGGGAGTGCACATTTTGATGGGGTCCTGGACAACCCCTGTTTTAAAACCTGGCCTGGCTGTGGTGGCATTCTGGCTCATCTCCTCCCAGCCTGGCTCCTCTAAGTAGAAGTTTAGCCCATCAGCCATTACTCTGTCCCATGTCACCAATCCCCCACTATCAGCTTGTAATGGGCCAATTTTCTTTTACCTTCTGCTTACTTGGAAAACATCTCAAGACCCTTTGTGCTTTAAAATATCCTTTACAATCCCATGCTCAATATCTCTTTCTGTTCCTCTAATTGTCCCTTTTAACTCACTGCACTTTCTATATAAATCTCCCAGTCTCCCCCCTTTTCAGGCAGTTAATAAATACAAGCTCCCCAAAAAATATACATAAACATCTATTGTTGGCTAAATAACTCACAGCACAATCAAAAAGCCAGGAAAAAAAAAAAAAAAACAGAGAGGCTCAGCACAATGAATGCCCACCCGTGTTCTCTCTCGAGTTGTCCTTGCCTATCTTAAGAAGGCTGCTGGAATCAGGGTAGTTGATGGGCCTAAAGAGTCTACTGGGTACAGGAACAGAGGAAGCCCCATGGGAGAAAGAGAAGGAGGGGAAGAGAGTAGCTGTGGGGCTCTATCGACGGGGCTTCCTCCAAGAGTAATAAGGGGTGGGGACAAAGGAGACCTAGTGTAGGGAGCACTGGCTCATTTAAGTGGCATTTCAGCAGACCCCTTGCCTCCAAAAGAAGTGGGTCAGCCTCCTCCAACACACCGCGTCAGTCTGCACGGCTGCGGCCCGCCCCCCATCTCTCTCCTTTCAGCTCTCATTTCTCATTAGAGCTGTTAGTTTCTAAGCATCAGGAGGGTGGGGAAGGCTGTGCCTTTGTGTCACTGGTTTCTGTGTGGCAGTGTGCACATTAATGGCATGCCTGAATGGCAGAATTTGACATTGCTGCTGCAAAATGTGCTCAGGTCATGGTGCTTTCCAAATTGGCTGAGACTCCACGCCACCACCCCCTCCCCTGCTCCTTTACCCAGGCAGCTCCATGCCCCTGCCAGCCTCAGCTTCTGCAGCTCCCTCTGAGGGCCTCCGAAAAGAGGAAGCGAGACATGTATTAAACTCTTCAATCTCTGTAAGTACCATTTCCCAGGAGACCCGCTCTGAGGAAGAAGGAAACGCCAGTGCTCAGGACCTAAACATGTAGGAGGCGGTGGGGGACCCCATGCCTTCATGTCACCTCTCCTCTCCCCCCAATCTCAGGGTTTGGGGGGCAGTCATGGACAAGACAATGATGAC